AGAGGCGCCACCGGCGCTTTCTAATTTAACATAATGCGAGTTTGATATTTCACCGCGGATTCAGCTTTCGAGCTTTTTTTTTTTTATAGAAAAGGGGGCAAACGAGCATGTGGCTCACCTGATGTTAAGTGACTACCACCGCCCATGATCAACCGCAACACCAGGGGGAATTGCAGGTGCGTTGCCGGCCCTTTAGAAAGGAGTAAGCTCTTTTCTTGAAGGTCCCCAGGTCGTATCGGTCCGGAAAAATCACCGGTGGTAAATTATTCCACAGAGAGGTTGTACGCGGAAGAAAACTCCTTTTGAAACGTACAGTGGTGGACCGCCAAGCATCCAGATGGTGTGGATGGTATCGGGACGTTTGCCGTGTAGTGCGTTCACGAAATTTGGCGGCTGGGATTAATCCGAACAATTCCTCAGAGCACTCCCCGTGATAGATGCGATAAAATACGCAAAGAGATGCAACATCTCTTCGCAGCACCAGTGAATCGAGCCGATCGGAAAGCACTCGGTCGTCGACGATTCGAGCCGCTCTGCGCTGGATGCGGTCAAGTGGAAGGAGCTGGTACTGGGGAGCCCCAGCCCAGAGATGGGAACAGTATTCCATGAGCGGCCGAACCTGCGCCTTGTAAAGTTGCAAGCGGTGTGCCGGCATGAAATACTGTCCCGCTCTGCTGAGCACGCCAAGCTTTTTTAGAAGCCAATTTGGCCTTCCCTTCCAAGTGACCACGAAACTGCACGTCACTCGATATGTCGACGCCGAGGATTCCGATACTGGCTGAGGCAACAAGGGGAGTGCCTTGAAACTGAGGGGTTACGACAAAGGGGTTCTTTTTAGCTGTTAACGCGCAAACTTGTGTTTTCTGGGGGTTAAACTGGACTAGATTTAGTCGCCCCCAATCCGAGACTCTGTCCAGCAGAGACTCGAGCTTCAAAATGTTCTTACAGAATAACCGCTGATCCGCCGTTGGAGTCAGAATGGTGCTTTCGAGTGGCCGTTTTTCCTGGCCTTATGGCCTCTGCACATTAGCTCTAGAAATCTGTTGCGCAGGTGGAGTTATGTTACCAAATGTTGTCCTATAATGTTGTTGTATTTTGTGACTGGATTTGACGCCTTGCTAGAAAACACTGGTCCTAGTCCAGGATCCATCGCCCATTTTTGCACGTGATTACTATCAAGCTAATTTTCCGTGAGTTGCTTTATTTTGATGAGACGCCCAATAATTTCCTGTACGAAACTCTCGATTGTGGTAGCTAACAGAAGTAAGAACAAGGATAAAATATGTTGATTTGATGATTCTCAAATATTTATTACTAACTGAATTTTTTTTATTAAATCTCAAGATAATTATCTAAATTATTCGAAAAAATATTTGTCCTACAAAATCTATGGTTTGATCAAAGAGTCCCCTCTATCCAATATGTATCGATAACGAGGTCATCATAAATGATTACTAACCAGCTGATTTTTTTTTTGTTTTTACTTAGTTAATATTTATATAATTTAACAGAAATATTGTCCTACAAATTGCGTGGTACGTTATCCTGGTCCTACGCTCAAAAGTTGTTAGTACCACAAGACCATTTTTTTTCATTACTAACTGTAGGACAAAAAATGTGTTCTCTGCCCAAATGAAACATCGTCCTACAAGAAAACAGGTATGTATTATTAGTCCGACAAGAATTGTCATTTTTTCGTTTTTCTATCTGTAAAATAAGATAAAGTGAAAAAAGCTTTTTTAAAATTTAATTAACTTTATTTTTTGATAAACTTGGTACAAAAATTTATGTATTTATATATATAAAAAAAAGAAGTTAATCTTCATCAGATTCATCTGATAAATCTTCGCTACTAACATCGCTGTCATCTTCTATTTCACTTTCCTCACTCGTTGTATCTGACTATAATATGAAAAAATTAACTAATAACATGAAAAAATTAAGTAAATTATAAAATACAAATATTTATATAACTAACAAATAAAAAAAAATATTTAATTAACTAACCGTGAAGTGCATGGCAATGGGTCCGGTTCTACATTTTCAGCAGACGTTAAAGATATCGAGGAATCAATGATTCCAGTAGATTGAGATGCTGATGATGTTGAAGCTGGCTCAGTGCTGTGTATGAGAAATTATTAAAAAAAATTAAAAATGGTTTATTTCAGAAACATGCAAATAAATACAGTATCTACATAAATATCACATAGCATCATCGATATTGAAAAAATTATTCCATATTAAATTAATATTTAGTCAAATAGTCATACAAAAATATAAATTTAAATGACAAAAAATTAAATAAGAAAATATGTAAAATATAATATACTATCAAAAATTATTTTTTAAAGAATTTAACAATAATACAATGCTACAATAGAATGTTACAATGCTAATGCTCGATTTTACATAATTACATGAAAATATGAACTTAATAAATTATTTTTCAATAATTTTAAAAATACAGTAAATAAATATTCGATCGACTTACCTTTCATAAGACACCTTATTCTCTTTTTCTCTTTTCTTTCGAAAAGTAGGGTTTTCACAAAACAAATTACACAAAAAACACTTCATAATTATTTTCCAGCACAAAAAACATTTCTTGAAATAATTTCTCAAGACAAAATAAAACACGTGGTCGACTGAGAAAATGTTTGCAGGCTTGGTCGACACTAACGTGGGATACCTAATACGGAGTACGCAATGCTCTGCGCATGCGTACCGCCGTACCGGTGTGACTCAGTTGTAGTAGAAAAATACACAAACCCAAGCGACACAAATTTTTTACTACCTCTGTTAGCTACCACAATTGAGAATTTTCGCATAGGAAATTGTTGGGCGACTCATCGAAACGAAGCTATTCACGAAGATTCAGCTTGATAGTAATTATTTTTACATCAAGGACACCAATTTGTAGGACAATATTTCTGTTAAATTATATAAATATTAACTAAGTAAAAACAAAAAAAAATCAGCTGGTTAGTAATCATTTATGATGACCTCGTTATCGATACATATTGAATAGAGGGGACTCTGATCAAACCATAGATTTTGTAGGATAAATATTTTTTCGAATAATTTAGATAATTATCTTGAGATTTAACAAAAAAAATTCAGTTAGTAATAAATATTTGAGAATCATCAAATCAACATATTTAATCCTTGCTACTTCTGTTAGCTACCACAATCGAGAGTTTCGTACAGGAAATTATTGGGCGTCTCATCAAAATAAAGCTACTCACGGAAAATTAGCTTGATAGTAATCACGTGCAAAAATGGGCGATGGATCCTGGACTATCCCTGCATAAGAAACATTCCACCAAACCATCACAATCGCGTGAGTGATGAGTGCGCTGAATATTTGCGCGTATTGAAGAACTTCTGGTATTAATTTTCGTTTTACCCATTAAACTTTTCTTCCACCTTTTTTATAGAATAAGGGTGATAAACGAGCACGCAGTCCACCCGATGGTAAGTGAATTGTGCATAGACATCTATATTTATCCTCGATTAAGAATCAAAACGCAGATACGTTATCACTCCTGAGGACTAAGATGCCTCGTTTCCAGTAAAAAAAGGGTCTCCGGATCTCTACACTCACCATACGAAACACAACAGTATTAAGCTGCTATTTTACGTTGGTATTCTGTGAGAGCGAGGCCTTCCCCGGTCGGGCCGACCCATTCGTGCTACAGCTATACTATTTATATAACTGCAGCATGGCTCTACCATGTATAAATAAAAATGAATATATCTATAGTATGCCAAATTACAGCTTTGTAGCATCCAAGATGCTACAAAGCTGTAATCCACGATGTACTCCAGAGTAAAACCGCGAACGGACGGACGGACATTACGAAAAGGGTTCCTTCTTGTTTAACTACGGAACCACTTAAATTCCGCACAGTTGTTACTTTCTAAAAGCATTTACAAGTTCGTAGCCGCAGTTGAAAAAAGCAAGGAGACCGCACTCATCACTTGCCACATCCTCAAATATTATAAAACTTAAATGGTTAATAAAACAAAAATTCCATATTATACAAATAATTTTAATTAAAGCTTTGAACGTTCTACAGTAATGTGTCTAGAATTATTGCTATTCAATGATAAAGAGTAGACTAATTCTTAAAAAATAATTAACGCAACAAACGACATTGTTTTTATATATAACCTTTATACAGTAAAGTATACTTTGTAAATTTGCTACAAAAATTTGAAAATTTCTTCGTCATATATTGCTTATATTAATTGTTTCATTCTTCAATGCTATTTTAGAATAAAAATTTTAATAAAATTTTCTACTAGACATATTAACTAAAATGAGAAACTAAATCTACGTAAACACTCAAACTCTTAATTTAAGGAAACAATAGTAATCTACAAAATGTAGATTGTTTTAGAACTAAGCTAGACTAAACTAAACAATAATCTCATATCCTATAAAAACACTTGGTATGTACTTTAAAGAGATTTCTTACATATTATGTGAGGGTAAAATGGTCATCCGGTTAATAAAGTCACTTTCTAACTCAAAAGTACAAGCCTTGTTTGCATAGATGGCTTTGTGATACGATAGTTCTTCATCAGTTAATCAAATAATTAAGGGTGAAAATGGCGATGCTTTATCGACGCCATTCTGACAGTTGATATTATAGTAAATATTTTAGTCGACTGGTTACTATGGAGTAGTGTAGTAATGTTTTTTAAGTTGATTTTTCAAAGTGTTTCTAATTATTGCCAAAGCTTGTTTGAGATTTTTTCTTAATATATTAGTTATAGTATACGACTTTTGTTTTTGTCTCTGTCCTTCTCCAAGTTTTGGTTTTACAGGGCGGCAAAGCTTAAGGTTACCATATTACCCTCACGTACCTTAGTTTTAACTTTTTCATCTCAAGTTTAATCAACAAAATAAAATCTGTTTAAAAAAGTTTTATTTTAGTCGATTTAAATCTACTGTAAATTTGTACGATTTCACTTTTACCTAACCTTTTAATAAATCATAAATCGTCATCTAATAAAGCATCAATGTCATTAAGCAAATCTTTTTCACTGCTATCGTTTTTACTCAAGTTCTTTTGACAACTGGCTACCACATCAGGTACGTTCTTAACAAGACCTAAATCAAGATCTGATAGAATTACGTCATTCTCCTCTACGTCCTCACACAAGTCGACGATATCAACCGTATCGCCCATTTTAGTAGATTCTACATCGATTATTTCTGTATCAGATAATTTATCAATGTTATGACTTTCAGACATCTCAATGCCAACAAATTGTACTTCTGAATCTGATTCAACATCAGTTTTATTGCTACAGTCCGCTTCATTATCTTTGCCATCGCTGTTCGTCGTACAACTACTAGCGTACCTATTTCTAATCAGTCTAGGTTTTGAAGTTTGCTCGCCGATTTTAATTCTTTTAAATTCATAACAGTTATCAACTAATTCGTCTTCTTGCATATCATAAATATCACTTTGTTCAGAAAGAGTACGCTTTCTCCTTTCGTTTTCGTTACGTTTCTGTTCTGTTTTGGATTGATTAGATTGAACAGAAGCATTATGATCAACTTTTTTGTAAACTATTGAGTTGTTTCTAACTACTTTAATGATTTTGTTACCGGTGGCGGTATTAACTTCATGAGTAGATAACTTTCTTTTCCTACTCAAGTTCAGCGTTATCGGTGTGCTGTGTAGAATCGTATCGCTACACTTTTTCCTTGCTCTAATTTCGTCTAAAGAGAGCACCTTAAAATCTAAAGAATTCCGGCGTTCTGCCGACTGTTTCTTACCTGATATTTCATCTAGCGACAACCGGTCGTATTTGGATGACAAGTTGGTCCTTACAATTTTACGTTCTTTAGACTGGTCTATAACCGGCTGTGCTTCATAGCTGTAGAAGGCTGCCGCCTCAGCTTGGATCTTCTCGAGCAACAACAGCTCCTGAGATTTGGTGCGCGCAATTTTCTGTGCGTCGTCGGGCGATATCGTTTTAGTGGGTGTTGAAGAGGGAGCGCTTTCATTATCCGACTCTGCAAGAACACACGAAGCAACCGCTTAATCGTCAACGCGATCTGAACACGCGTATGATTTTCGTAATTAGTTTTGATGCGACCCGTCACGTTTACTAGCGGTGTGTTCTTGCCGGTGCCGTTCTGAAAGCGACGCGGGATGGGGCGGTCAAAAATAATTACAAAAATCATATTACGAAACGTTTTTATTTACTCGTTCGATAAATTAAACACAATCTGAATTAAAACAAAGCCAAAGTGTACATGTTTTTTCTCCAATACCAGTTCCTATATCAGAAAGTTAACTAGCTTAAACAAAACGGTGAAACGCACTAAGAGCTATACTTTTAAACGTAGCATACTTTCAATTATTTAAATAACCGTACGACTAAGATTAAATTAACAAAATAACAACCCCATATGGTGTGAACAAGACAATAAGCACAATAAAAAATATTGTTTAGATTTTTACATTTTTCTTAGTGTTTTCTACTTATGAAAGATGTAAAAACCTAACTGACACCTTTTATTACATAAAGGTAGAAACAAGTGCTGGGTTTTCAAACATCTAAAGATATTTTGTTTTTTCATTTCACAAATTCCAGGTCTCGATATACAAATTTTCGTTATCAAAATCTGAATCCTGATTACACTGCTATAGACAGCACTAACCATACCACAAGTCTATAGAAACTATATCCTCAAAAATAGACGACATGACTAATTTATTACATGAAATAGTTCTTTTGAAAACCATTAACAATATATAACATTAGTAAAATATTGCGACTGTTAACATAAGGTAATAAAATTCATTAAGCAACAGTCGCCCGACAGAACTAAACTAAACATAATAAATACTGAGAACACTGGGTACAAGTACAAGGCAACTGGTACAATAAAAGTATGAGCGAAACCAATATAGATAAAAACGCTGCCATTGGAAATCTACTACCATATTTATACTATTAAATACTAATTTCACAAAATGTACTAGTATCATATTATAATTTGATATTACTCTGAATACAGGGTTTTTCACATTATAATGGTCGAAAGAGAGCAGTTATAATGTTAACTAATTAGATTTTTTTTTTGTTTAACCAAACTCTACCATTGCCAATCGAATGTATTTTTCTTTTGCTTTTAACTTCATAGTATTGACAATTATTTTCATACATAAATAATGACTAGGCATATAATGGACCCTAAACAAATTTAAATATTTAAGATTCCCTTTTCTGCTATTTGTTTTTGTAATCGTAGTATTATAGGAACTTTCCTCTCAGTGCAAAAACATAAAAATTATTCAACTGAAAGATTATATTAATGTAACCATGACCTATATCAATGCACTATTCATGAATCATGGTGGTCGGAAGCATTTTTGTATTACCAACAGCTGCAAAGCAATGACTTGCTATTTTTGGTTTTTCTAAATTTTATTAACGTTGGTAATACGTAATAAGCACAAAAATTTCAACCTATATTTAGAGAGCACAATCTGTTCATGCCATATTAAAAATTCAGTCATTGGATTGCAGTGCTGTGCTTTTAAATATCTAATTTTCATTTTATTATGTCTATCTACCTCACGGTGCAAAATACTAAGTATATGGGGGCTCACTAGCGATGAATAAATTTATATACTGCTAAGCCCCTTGAACTCCCTACTCACTAACATACAATCAATTTAAAATGCATAAAGCTTTTTTTTTATTTTTTCTTCTGCTTATAATTAATGAGTTACAATATTCGTGTATATATATTTTTATTTGTATTTTCATATATTATTAAACCTATGTATTATGTACTTTTCTATCATAGACAAGGATTATATCAACATCTATAAAAAAAATCTAGCACAGTCGTATTTCCAAAAAACATTGGCAGTCACATCAACATAGATTAAAAATAAGACTGCATGACACTATATTAAACGCTATATCATCTTACATAAAAAAGCGAAATATATTTATGAATCTAATTAGCTAAGATATGAGAGAAGTTATCGTCTATAATTTATTGCACATACAAAAATACCGACTTGATTTTTACTAAAGCATTTTCAAATCGGGATTATGAGAGCTCAACATTCTTATTTAATCACTCTCATAATTATTGCATTTTGCATATAAAAAGATAAAATTGGAATCAAAGAAAAAGCTGCCACTTCTGGCAATAGTTTAGTAGAATCAAATAATTCATTTTGTTAAGATTCAGTAACTTTATAGATAAAATTCAATTAATATTCGCATAAAATTCAACACTACATTTTTTGTGTAATTGTTTCAGAAATCAAAGGTGAAAGTTAAAAAGAAACGAAACAATGTTTATCTGACACTAAACTCATCTAACACATTGATAAATACTTTAATTGACAACCAGTCAATAAAAAATTATAATTGAGTTAAAAATAGTGATCAATAAGGCATACTATCACTACAAACCAGGAAGTAAAACATAACGATACATTTTTATAATATAAAGTAAAATATTGGGCTGCTATAGTATACAATAAACTTCCCAGTTCATAGACAGAAATGTATATAAAACAATCTTAGTGAGTAAAACTAAACGAAAATAAATATTCCTTTACACTACCACCCTAATATATGCCCTTTTGAGTAATTCATGTATCGGGTCTTTATATATTGGCACATAATTAACAATAAGGCAATTAAACTCTGTCAATAAATCACGTATTGGGAAATGTGAATTGCTCTAAACACTAGGACAGAATCTAACACGCCATTAGTGCCACAATCTTCATTGAGTTCATCTCTCCTAAGTGAAGTGATACTTTATAATAGTGAGTGTTGAACATTAAACATTGTTAAATCTAATTCTATGCAAATCGCTCGTAAGTAGAGAAAGTATGAGTTGTCAACTTGTTCAATTTTCCTGTATTTCATATGAAATTGCTTAATAATATGATCACATTATTGTATTAATTCACTATTTTTTTTAATCCTCAATCTCTATAATACTTAAAGAGGCATATTGGGAATATCAGCTGAAAACTCATTCATGCTTCTGTAATTAAATACATATTCGCTGAATATTTTTAAAATCCTCGAAAACATTTTGTGTCAATATTTATTACACAAGAAACATTAACATTTTCGGTGTTTTAAAAACAGACATTTTAGCAAAAAGACTATAAGCTCCCAAGCAGTTTGAGAAAGTGAATGTGAATATTTTGCATGATGTTTTTATTTTAAAGTCCACCAAAATTCAGATCAATCCAAATATATAGTCTAAAATAATACAAAACATTAAAAGAATCGATAAATAATGTTAAAATCTTATTTAATCTCTTTGTTTTTTTTTTTCTATTAGAGAACACAAAAGCAATGACACCTAAAATAACTTAAAATTAGTTAACCATGCGGAAACCAGTCCAACAATCTCATTATGCTTATTCATTACCTTGACCAATTTTCATTAATCGATTGTAAAACTAAGCCACCAATAATCAAACACATTCTATCCATTTTGATGGACTATCATCCAATATACATTCACATGACTCTGCTCTGCCGACTACCTGTGGTAATGACGAGAGTTCCCAAACTGCTGAAATGGGGCTTAGTACATATAGTTTCAGTAGAGACGCATACCTTCCTCAAAGTTGACGACGAGAGGGTCGACTGGTAGTGGTGCGTAGGGGTTTGGTGCTTCATGAGGATGGGGATGACCATGAGCATGAGGTGGTAAGACCCGACGGGCTCCCAACAAGTCGCCTGAAGCTGGCAGAACACCAAGTATCGCCGAATCTAGAACAACTGTTGATAACATTCCAAAATATAAAAAAAATTACTCTATACATAACATTCTACAACATTACAACAATTATTAGACTTAAGTAAGCTTCTCATAAGTGAAAGGAGTCAGTGAGATATCCCAATGTAAAGATTTATTACTTTGGTTTTTCTTGCAGACTTCCCTATCTGCCCAAAAGATATACAGCCAATGATGATTGTGAGTGGTCAATTGTCAGTGGCCCAGAGAACAATATATGTGGGCCGGGCCACTCACTCTTATGAGAAATATAGTGCAGTATAAACTAGATCACACACAGAGGATAGGTAAAAAGCCTAATGGTTAAAACATTTGTGTATGTGGAAGAGCCACGCTGCATCTATATTATGGTTGTAGCACAAAAGAGTCGGCTCGACCGGGGATGAACCATGCTCTCACAGAATACCAGCATAAATTAGCAGCTTAATGCTGCTGTGTTTCATATGGTGAGTGTAGAGAACCGGAGACCCATTTTACTGGAATCTAGACATTCCATCTTAGTCCTCAGGGGTGACAACGCATCTGTATTTTGACTCTCAATCGAGGTTAAATGTAGATGTCTATGGGCCACAGCATCCACTTCCCATCAAGCGACTGTGTGCTCATTTGTCATAATAATTCTACAAATAAAATTCAACGATAACCCAACACTGAAGGATAGACCTGCCCAGGACTAATCGGGGAAAAAAAGAAAAAAAATATATCCTAATTATATTTTAAGTTATATAAAAAAAAATTAAATTCTTCAGAAATTGAGACCGTTTATGATATTTTTCACTACCATGACTACAATTTTTTTAATATTTGTTTCTTTTATTTTATAGGCAACCTGAATAGCACTGCTATCTACCACAATTCTTAAAAAATCCAGAATAACTCTTGTTTTATCACGAAAATTAATGAAACTTTTTTATTCCCTAAATTTGTTGAAGACTTTTACTTTTAACCAAATTTAACTTAGCGTGGTGTAAAAAAAAGTATGAACACTAGTATGGCAAGTTTTTTTAAAAATTGACACAACTAACCAACATTCCAAAATGGTATAATACTCTAGGAAAACGAGTTATAAAAAAATATGGATCTATTATTTTCTTAACAGGGGCCGAATTCCTTAAATTGTAATTGTCAGTAATCACTTTTACTACATGCCCAAAATGGGTTCTTGTTACAATTTCTAGGAATTTTAATGGGGCATACATACCCTAGATGTTAGAGAGAGATAGATAGATAGAGATATTTACGTTAAAAAGAGACAACAACAGGGCATGTAGAGAAGCTGTTATTATTCTCAGCAAGTCAGTTCAGTACGCTCTGCTCCTTTGTTTACTGCGCACCGTTCCCAATTCAACTTACGTGGCTCTCGTATATACTATCGACTTTTGGCTTGGCTTTTTGGACTGGAATCGACCTGCAAACTTAACTGGCCTGGCATTATTTGGACTGGAAGTGATCTGCAAACTGAACTGACCTGGCATTATCTTGGACTACGATTGTTTGTTTTTTGATTTAGAGTTCTGGCGCATTTTGGACTGTTTGGCGTTTAACATGCCGCAACCGTACACACCACAGGAATACGCTAATATGCATTTAATCTATGGAGAATGCCGATGTAATGCTAACGCTGCTAGCAGACTGTATCGAGAAAGATACCCAAATGCTCAAAGATATCCTGATTATCGAGTGTTTATTAATATGCATCAAGCGTTTTCAGAGGTTCGTATGCCATCCAATAGGAGAAGCGCTGGAAGACCTAGATTGGATCGTGATGAAGAAGTTCTCAATGAGATAGAAAATGATTCGACTACTTCGGTACGTGCCATAGAAGAAGCTACAGGAATCCCGAAAAGTCCAAATAATGCCAGGCCAGTTAAGTTTGCAGGTCGATTCCAGTCCAAAAAGCCAAACCAAAAGTCGATAGTATGTACGAGAGCCACGTAAGTTGAATTGGGAATGGTGTGCAGTAAACAAAGGAGCAGAGCGTACTGAACTGACTTGCTGAGAATAATAACAGCTTCTCTACCTGCCCTGTTGTTGTCTCTTTTTAACGTAAATATCTCTATCTATTTATCTCTGTCTAACATCTAAGGTATGTATGCCCCATTAAAATTCCTAGAAATTGTAACAAGAACCCATTTTGGGCATGTAGTAAAAGTGATTACTGACAATTACAATTTAAGGATTTTGGCCCCTGTTAAGAAATAATAGACCCATATTTTTTTATAACTTGTTTTCCTAGAGTATTATACCATTTTCGAATGTTGGTTAGTTGTGTCAATTTTTAAAAAAACTTGCCATACTAGTGTTCATACTTTTTTTTACACCACGATAAGTTAAATTTGGTTAAAAGTAAAAGTCTTCAACAATTTAGGGAATAAAATAGTTTAATAATTTTCGTGATAAAACAAGTTAGTTATTTGATTTTTTAAGAATTGTGGTAGATAGCAGTGCTACTCGGTTGCCTATAAAAAAAAATAAATAAATATTAAAAAAAATTGTGGTCATGGTAGTGATAAATATCATAAACGGTCTCAATTTCTGAAGAATTTCATTTTTTTTATATAACTTAAAATATAATTGGGATATATTTTGTTTTCTTTTTTCCGCTGATTAGTCCGGGGCAGGTCTATCCTCCGGTGTTGGCTTATCGTTGAATTTTGGGACACGTTGTGTATATATATATATACATATACATGTATATATATATACATATTTTTTTTTTTTTTTTTTTATATATATGACCTATGTTACAAGTAAGACAATGATCTAATCTAAATCAAATAATCTAATTATACTACATATTTTAAAATCAATCAAGTTTTAGGTTACAGTATGGGCATGTCTATGAAACAGACATACAGTCCCTGGCCAAATTATTAGACACTCTATAAGATTCTACATAAAATCTTAATCATCAGGTGATACTATACAGCTTTATCATCTTTACTAGATATAATTTTTTTTAACCACCTAATTACAGTCGACTCCCGTTAATTCAAACATGCGATAATCCAAACCTCTCTATAATTCAGTTATTACGAGTTCTCAACAAAATCTCTTTATATTTCGAACTAAATCAATACATTTTTATGCACTTAGTAATTCGAACAATAATCATCATTGCTACGTAACAAAACGACCCGTTAATTCGAACCATAGACCAAGTATATATGGGGCAATTCGAACTCATTGGAGTCTCGACAATTCAAATTTGCAGAGAGAAAGAGACAGAAAGATTGTAATTTGTAAGTATATTTTGAGACAAGTTAAAACTTGTATCATCGTTTTGACGATACGTCAGAACCTTTGGGAGAGGTGTCAGTTAAGGAAGCAAGAGCCTCATTCGATACCTTACAAAGCTGCTGTCTACAAAACGAAAGTGATGAAAAAACATTTCACACTTTTTGCGCTCTGTATATATTAGCATCTTGTAGTTGCAATTGTATCAGTTTTGTACTTGCAAATCTTTTTTCCAGGCAAATTTTTTTGAGTAAAAATAGGCTTTCCGCCGCAACTTTTCTTTCGTTTCGGGCTCAATTCGTCCCCTGACTCAATTTTCTTCGTTATGCGTCGTGAGCTAGTTCAGAAACCTTCAATCGTCGTGATATTTCGCGGTTAGAAAATATTTTAGGATTTACTTCAACCTTTTTTACTTACTGAAAGATCGCCTTTTTTACCCATGATTAAAATGTTCCAATTTTTTATTTAAACACTGCACACAAAATGACCAAATAACTGCGTAGTATAAAACTGCGAAACATATACACAGCACATAATGCCACAGAAACACGTCCACAACTGAAACACGCGAGAAATGACTAAAACTAAAACTTTTACTTGTTTATGTTTGTCAATTGATTAACATTATAATGCAATACATCAAAAATAAATACAAATAGGAAATATACAAATAATCTCCTGAATAAAAACCCATAACATTTATGTTTAAATATAAGTGTTGCATATAAACTAGTGCACAACATGTAATTATTAAAAAACTAGTGCGTCTAATAATTTGGCCAGGGACTATACATATACTGGAAAACCATTACTCTCCTTCCGAGGCAGATGGGTAAACATGTTCCTATCCTGTCTGATAACTGAAAAAGATGCACACATATTACAGCAAGATTGAGGGACGGCAGATACTGGGAACTAGAGACTATAATACACAAGAAGTTCTTATGTCCATATATCATACACCTATATATGGATGTAAGATACATCAATAGAGGTGTCAAGGTCATGCCAAATGGAAGTCCGTAGTCTCTGCCTACCCCTTTGGTTGACAGTTGTGAGTGTTTATGTTTTAAGTTCTAACTTTGGTGGGCAAACTTTCTGAAATATTCTAATTTTTCGTGGGCATACTTTTGGTAGGTGGTATTTCTATTTTATTTTTTTCATTTAAAGAGGATACACCTTAATAAAAAACCATTTCCAGATCATAAAGTTGTGAATATTATACCTTGACGTTGCTGTTGCCAAAGCAAAGGTACAGGAGCAGGAGCTGGAACTGGGGGAGCAATATTCGAGTTCATTGTGGGCTGCTCAGCTGCACTCTCAGAAACCGTATTGGCGGGAGTTGCCTGTAATATTGAAAGTGCATTATTTTAAAAACACAATCGTCAAATTAAGTATACTTAAATATTTGATTCAAGGTTATTTCCAATAAACACCAATTGTTACACATCGTAAGTCTGTAAATAATCATCATGACATAGATCTCTGAATTTTTATCAATCATTTGCTGAATCTCTTTTGTTGATATTTGTATAATAATAATAATGTCCTCCAGACAGAATTTCATTCACGGCAGCCAGTCTCAACGGCGACTAGCCATCTGCGAAGGTTAGGATTTCAGTGCCCTAGTGGATGCGCTGCACAGGTACACTCTCTGTTCCCTCACTCTGGTATTTGTATACCTACGATCTACCGACACGTAAAAGAGGTGCTTAGTTGTCGAATTGCAGAAATAGCTCAGTGTATACTAAATAATTTAACTAAATTTAATAAATGATAAATTGCATTCAAGCTGCAAACATAATAATTTTTAAGATCTTTTTTCTGTATTACCTAAATGCACAAATAAATGAATTTGAATTAAATTAGACCTGTCTAATAGTCTGGACCATAATTGAGATTTGTTAGATTTTTAATTTCATTTAATTTTTCAGACAATAATAATAATATAATGAATCGCAATTTAAAAAAATACATACAGCAGCTATAGGTGCTGGCTGGCTGGGGGCAATACCATCAGTCCGTGCATCGGGGTTCTTGTGCATAAATGGGCAATGCTTCTTTCGGCAACCACCAGGCTGGTTTTCCCAGTAGCAGGGGATTTGCTTACGATTTTTCTGCAATTTGTCACATGATTGTGTTATCTTGTAACTAAATATTTAAAAGATTATAATATTTTGATAGATATAATTGTTACGTAAATACAATATCTTGATCATTGTCAATGTCATAATTAGCAAGATATTAAACTGTTATAGGAATTTTTATTAATTTGATAATTAAAAGTTTCTACTCCAATTATGCTTTTGTGTGTTAAATTAATAGGAAGTCTAAACATAAATACATACATTATACATAAATACTCACGCCTATCTCCCAGAAGGATAGGCAGAGACTACGGACTTCCATTAGGTGCAATCCTGACAATAATGAAAACCTGACCTAAAGCTAAACGCCACCTCAGTCTAAACATGAGTGGAATATAAAATAAACTATTATTGTCTTTTTATATCAATTCAAACAATTTTATTTTAAAGTAGCACTAAATGTACTAACTAATAAAATAAATATTTTATATTGATTTCCAGCTGTAGCAATAATTTATTATACAAATAATTATATCCTCATCCAACAACATGATCAACAGAGCACTAACTTATAATTTTTCAGGTTTAAATATGCTAGTACTTTTTTCATGTCTAACTCCTATTTTCTTAACAAAATATTACACTGGATACAGAAAAGCAACAACCTACATTTGCAGAAATATTTATAGTGCTATAATGCAAGAATTAATCTTTTGATAACAGGTAAAAACAAAACATTGCAATCAATAAAAAAAGTTAATAACCGGGAATTCTGATAAAATTTCACACTTAGTACCAGAAACATTTGCAGTTTCAATATATTACATATACCATAAAAGTCATTCAACTTCTTAACCAATCACCATAGGCTCAGATTTATGCAACGGAATGGAAACAATAACCATCACACATGCTATAAAGATTTACGTTTTAGCAGCAAAATTTTAAAACATTTTCTTTTATACTATAAATCGGCTTATTGCTAGCCAAGTTATCAGAGTACATAGCTAAATAAGTCTTGGGTTTGAATAACAAACAGATACAACATTTGTGCCAAAACACAAATTGCTGATATTTTAGGTCTGGTTGTATTACAACTATCCCCATGTCTTATATACCTGCATGACGCTCCACAATCTTCTTTTGTTAGTTTAAATTGTGATATTATTAGTATGTTAGTATGAGTGAGTGCCTCTATGTGCATGTCCAACTTTAATCGAATAATATTATCCCTTGTGCAAATGAACCTTTGTAAAATGAACCAGGAAAACATTGTAATTATCATCATTTGATAAATAAAATAATGTTGTTTAAATTGGGAAACCTCTAATATTGAATAAATCAAAATTTAATTTATATGATCTATTCATATACACTATATAAAGACAGAATACATTCTCACATAATATCAACATAAAATAGAAGCTATTGCTGTTGTATATTGTAAGTAGAGTAAAGAGAACGAAGATCCTTTTTACTGGTAATGAGACATTTTATCTTAGTCCTCAGGAGTGAGTGTATTTGTATTTTGATTCTTAATTGATGATTGTTATAGGTGTGTATGGACCATAGCACGCATTTACCATTAGGTGTACTGCATGTTCAATTAACACCCTTATTCTTATTCTATGAAAAAAATCTAAAATATGTTAATATAATTTTCAATAATGTTAATGCAACATTGTGTAAATTAAGTCTATACTTTTACACAAAATAAATTTAACGAAGAAAGATTTAACTCATCACCAAAAGCAGTTAACGACTGGGAAAATTACAAAGTGCACATTATTTATAATGTTCCACACATACCCTCAGCTCCATGTGACGCAGCTTACAACGTTTGTCAAGGCATTTGCCCTGCTGCCATGCAGTGCACATTGTTTCACAGCCTAGCGCTGATGGCTCATGACGGAATACACAATTGTCACCCTGAAATATTTATAGAGGTAATTGAATTTTATTATAGCATAATATTCATGTAGTTTGGCACTATTATATGCATATTTTCTCAAATATCTATTTTAATTTTTGCAATATTTTTGAAGATGGGATAAGAAAAGGTTGGCAGCAAGATCTTACCGATAATAACTTGAAATAATAAAAAAAAACTTGCGATGTCAACCCGCTTGGCAAGTGCGACAACTACGGCGAATATTACTGAGGCAAACTATGATAGTAGCCCATATTCAGCAACTTACTTTTGATAGACTTAAATGTGATTGAAGGCACATTTTTAGGCACAATATTTGGATTCTTGCACAAGGGCGTCCAATGACAAACATAAAAAGATAGATACAATAATATTTTTGCCATATTACAATGAAATGTTTTTTAACACGATTATAGGTTAGATAACAAGATACACATCGGACGGATATGTTTCTACGTACCTTAATACACGTAGAATAATAGTAAAAATAACAATCATTGAATTTTCTAGGAGACTCCATAGTGTAATCAGCCGTCCAAGGCCTGAGAAAGAACACTGTGAATTTGTAATTAATCGAAGTCACAACACTCTTCAGTAACTATATGAAAAGTATGAAATCATGTTTATATTTCACTAGAGGACTGTTATATATTATGATAAGAATACGGTTTTCAAAAATGACAATAAAATATAACTAGCACGGAGCGGCGTTTAGATTACAAATAAAAGTACATATTAAAATTTCTTCGAGCAGTTTTTACTCACCGTGTTTGAAACAAACTCAAGAATGATAAATTAAAAACAAATGTCTATACAACTGTTTTATATAATAAAAAATAATACGGACGTCACTATTAGAAATAAAATGTAGGTAGTAGATATGGCGGACATGTGGCGGAAGGCGGACCATAGGCGGACTTTCGTTTCATTTCATCGGCAAAGCAAACTCACCCAAAAATGTTGTCTATTCTATGCTACAGATTAAACATAATTTTGGGTGGGGTACCACGGCCTTCAGCTTTTTAGTGCCAATTTTAACTTCAGAATTTCATGCCTTTAATATTAAGAGCATATAATTTGTAATGTTTTAACCAATGTTATCTTGTTTATCCAAACATATAATACAAATTATTTTATTGATGATTTGCTCGCGTCCGTAGGCTTCGATCACCTAAACCTTGGCCCACCTTACACGTATACCTCGGGTGGTTCTAAACGAAAGACAAAGCCGTAATAATAGACTCGTCTCCCTACTGTATGGTGCGGAAGAAAATCTACCATCCCCTAATTCGTACCATGATACAATAAAAGAAACAGCTCCGAGTTCGCGGCGCCCCTTTAATAAATGGGGCAGGGATGCGAAAAATCAGCTCTGTTTCGCCAGCATGCGAAGTCAGGAATCTGCATTCAGAAAAGCCAAAATTAGGGGCGTTTTGGGTGCTAATTAGGTGACAAGTTTAAACATTATTATTTTCACCTCAGCAGCCTCAGCCTATTGGTCGCCTTCGGCGACCAGCCACAGCCTCAGATTTTTTTTTATAGAATTAGGGTGACAAACGAGCACACAGTCCACCTGATGTAGGGATGTTCGATGACAATCGATGCTCGATTATCATCGATGTTAAAAATAAACCATCGATGTTTTAATCATGTCAAACATTGAAACATCGATGCCACATTTCAAACCGTAGACAGAGAAACCTATAGACAAATTGACGCCTTCTTTCGCATTCGCACACGAAAAAGATAGATTCATGCATACGTCTTGCATAGAAATGAGATAGACCGGTGTGATTTTTTGTCCCTTTTTCCGTGCCGGTTTTTTTATTTAGCAAACTACACTTTGCTAAACAACTTTGACAACGTAGTGATCTAAGGCGTTTACGAGTTGGTTTAAGTGAGAAAAAAGTGTTTTGTGAGCGTAAGATTGGTGAATCTTGTTCAGTTCAGTTCTTAGAACAATTAAAAATGTTATCTAAATATGTTTAAAAGTCATAAAGATTATTGTATAACCTAAAACTACATTATCGTCCTTTCTCACTCAAGACCACGCTAATCATTAGTCTATAGGTTTCTCTGTCTACGTGTCAAACATTGAAAAATCGATGTCAGTGAACCCATAATCGATTAATAGGAACTTGTGAACAATGCGAGCCCTCGAAATTAGTATCAACTTAATCTTGCATCTCCTATTAAAGAATTAAAAACTTGAATGATTCAGAATTCCCAAAACGCATCGATCTTTTAAAAAATATCATTATGGTGTGTCAAACTTAACGGTCAAGTGAGAACTGAAATGTCACATATACAGTGTAGAAGTAAGGAGTACCAACTCCCATAGTAAAATAGTTGAAAAAGTGGCCATCTGTAAGCAGTAAATAATAGTTCAAAAACTCTCCACAACATGGCTGGAGTAGCTACTGGGATGAAATGAACTTAGCAATTGTCGACGGTTTGAAGTGTGCTGCTAAACTGCTCAGTATCTCTAAAATGTAAAATAATTTTATTTAGTAATTATAACCTCGAAAAAGTCGTCTATCCCACTAATATTTCTCGGCACTTTCTTTAAAAGTTAGCCCGTAGCTGTAGTGGCGCCACCCTTATTTAACGGTTTTCTATGGACACTTTTTAATACACAGACTGTACTCCTTACTTCTATACTCCATAATGTCACAGTTGTCACTGCTTTCCAGTGTTGCAGTTTTAGCGACTTTTTAGCTAGATCTAGCGGATTTTAACAATGTTTAGCGGATTAAAAAAAATCGTTTTAGCGAGAAATAATTATTTAGCGACTTCTAGCGACATTTGGACTTTTGAAATGGCGACTTTTTTTATAAAGTAATTCATTTCAAATAAGTCATTTATCATATGTCCAATTTTGTAATCTACCATTGGTAACACTGTATATATAATATAATTTCACGAGAATTCCCGAACATAAACTACCAATTCAATATCTTTTATTCACTTTCATCTGTTTCGACCTTAAACCATGGTCTAAGGTTTCGACATACAAAAATGCAGCAGGAGTAAACATTTTCGAAGATTTATGTAATTTTGCAATAGTAATATTTTCACTACCGCACTCAAATACAAAATTTTAACGCGTATTTAGTGCTATGAATGTAGTTAAAAGCAAACTGCGGAACAAGCTATCAGAAAAAACTTTAAATTCTATTCTTCTGATTAGAAATCAGTTAAGGGTTAAAAAAAAGAATTGCGCAACAAAAGATATTCCCGAAAATGTTGTCGACAAAGGCAAACCAAAGATGGGAACTGGAGACATTGGCGAAGCTACAACTTCCGCTGAATTTGTTTTTGAAGATCTGGATACATACTTCGCTATTAATTTTAAAATTCAGGTACAGGAACGTACTGAGCTAATTGTTTTATTTTTAATAAGATGACTAGTGTTTAAACATGGTTTAAAGATTTAAGATTTATTTTTTTACAATATTTTTATTTATTTTGTACATGAATAATTTTTGTTTTGGTTGTGCTATCATTAACCTACACTATAAATAACTGATTTATATGAAATAGAGTCCGCTCGAATCGAATTCGATGTCGAATTTATAGATTTAGATTTTCGGTATTCATTGACAATTTGGCAAGATTTTTCATAATGATTTTTTATTTCAACGTTCCAGGAAGTCTGCAGTTTGTGATCATATCCTAGACGGCCCCAACCATTACATAAGATTTGATAGACCACAAATCCTCGCGAAAGAACACCGATTCCTACCAAGGATGATACGTGAGGCTAATGAAATTAAAAAACATCCTAATTTCAATAGAGAAGGAGGCTGGGTACTACCACCAGCTTGGGATCCTATAATCAATGAAATTAAAACTAAATCCAAGCATACCACTGCAAGACCTCAGGACATAATCAGTTAATTTTGCATAGATTGGACCATAAACAATAATTTAAAAAGCTAAAGGCTAAAAGCCGAGTTTAACAATGACATCGGGACATCAATCACCTCAGTTCCCGTGACCATGGATGCTGGAAAGCACCCGAAACGTCGGGAATTAAAAATAATTTAAAGTAAAATTAAACGCGATCCGTAATATCCGTAAATAAAATCCGTAAAAGTAGTTTTAATCAAGATTTTTCAGTTAGCCCAACGCCATATACCACGAAAATATACCTAGGGACATCTAGCGGATTTTAAGAAAAAGAAAAATCCTGTTTCTGGCGGATTTTTTCTGTAAGTCTAGGGGACTTCAAAATTTGTAGAACGGCAACCCTGCTGCTTTCGCTTTGTTATTGGGTGCGTTTGGCAGAAGAAAGCGCTAGCAAGCGCTTACAAGCGCTGAAATAGTTTTCGGCCAGGACACCATTGCTACTTCAGTAGCGCTGACACAATCCGCCATTTTGCCTATTTAAGTTTGTTTGTTTTGAAGTAGAGTTTATAAGTTGTTTTGTGCAATATTAGTTTTAAGTAATATAATGACATGAATAAACATATACATGTTATTAAAAATTCATGATTGGTAAGTTTTTAATATGAATACTTTACAAACATATGTTTGTAAAGTATTCATATTAAAAACTATACCATATTAAATATATATTTAAATTAGGTTAGGTTTTCCGGTTAAAACTAACATCGTGTCCTGGAGGAAAATAGCTACTTACGATATGACAGCGCTTACCGCTTACGATCGCCATTTTGCTTACAAGCGCTTTATTCTGCCAAACGCACCCATACTGTGGGTGTGGTGTCTTTGCTCGTTGTCGGTTGTCACATAGGAACGATTCTACGTAAATTGATATTACTGACATTATTATTTAATTTCACTGCAAAGTGCATTCGACCGTGTGACTGCGAGAGTGCATACTTACAGCTTGGGTTGTCTGATTAAAAATTGTGAATAAAGGTGACAGGAAAAGTCTATTATTTTGTTTTGGTGTAGTTTGTATTTTTTTTTCTCTATAATCAATTTTTATTTCGCCATAGGAGTTAGGAGTAGTAGATATAAAAACAACCTATAAATCGTAAATTAGGTCCCAGAGTAATTTTTTTCATACCAAATTTGGGCTAATCTTTCCAATATGGACCATCGATTTCAAAGCCCATATGTTTTTTGTAGATAGTACTCACTAAAAGAAAGCGTTTTGCAAAGTTTTAGGTTGCGGAAACTTACGGTTCATGAGATATATTTTTTTAAACTTTTCATACAAATTGGTAAATAACACGCAATTACAAAATAAATTTGACAAATGATTGATGTTAAACGTCAGTTAGTGTAGGGTTCCGAATATTTTGAAAGTATCGATACTTACTAGATACCAAGTATCGTATCAAAAGTATCAATACTACTTGGTATCGAGTACATTTCGTTAATTTTGGAGACGAAAAATTATGAAAAACCAATTAGATGCATAGGAAGAGCTGATAAGTGCAATTATATATGTATATAAAGTAGAATAAAGTTTACTCTATTTAAGTTCCACCTTAGTACTTGTATTTTATTGTTTGCAACTTGTTTGTATTTCTTAATTAGTACAGCTTTTGTACTTTTATTTTATTGTTTGCAACTTTCTGTATTATCTAATTCTTACTACAATAAAGTGTTTACTTACTTATTGACTTACTTATTTAATATTCAAAAAGTACCCAAAACCGAATCAGAGCACCCCACTATCCACGTGGTCTTGTCTGCCCTACCCCTAGAGTGTATATAAGAGCCCGGAGGCGCGGAGGGAGAGCAGTGCCCGCCCGCCGTAGGGAAGCGCAGGCACCGAGATCAGAGAGCCCAGGTGCCTGTGCTTCCC